ATATATATATATATATATATATATATTATTTCGATATTCGATAAATTTGTTGAAATCATTATACAACAAAAGTTGAGTTCAATGTTCACTGAACATTAACATTAATTTTTATTTACTAATTAGTCTCAGATCCGTGTGTTCGTTTTTTTTTCAAAGTTGTATTAAGAGAAATATAATATAATTATTATTATTGTTTGGAATATATGTATTATTAATTTTTATTATTTTATTAAGTTGTAAAGTTTTAGGAGAAAAACGTGTTATATGTAATAATGGCTTTATTATAGAAGAATTTTGTAGGTAATTAGGTCAGTTATTCTCATCCCAAAAATTCAAAGCCAAATCCGAACATTATTGAAGAAAGAATTATTGAAAAAAAAACATTGAAATGGTTAATCATGAAGGAAAGCTGTCAATTGATAGAATTACAACAATACTGTCAAGTTAATATTTTAAATCACACCAATACCGTATATTTATATTTTTACAAAAATATAATATAAAAAATTAATCTTTTAAATTATTTTTATTATAATTTTTATTTTAAAAAAAAACAAGTCAGCATGCGGACACGGACTAATCCACTTGATAATTTGATAGATTAGACAAACCAGGCGAAAATATCAAGATGGGAAGTTATCATTGAATTTTATTGAAAGGAAAATATACTTTAATATACATAAAAAAATTATTGACATTATTTTTTCTTATTTTTTATTTTCATTTTTATCAAAAAAATACAAAATTTTTAATTTTTTGTGACCATACTTCTCAGAGTACCGTTTCACTTATTGAAATGTAATAGCATAAGTAAATTCAACAGACACAAAAGCATCTACAACTAAAATCTAGTAAAGTCCAAAAAGCTGTTTGAACAACGATGGTTCTGTTTGTTGTTCTCTCTCTACCTTGTATCTTTATCTTCGTCTTCTTTGTTATCTCGCAAAAAAGAAAACTTGCAGCACCACCAGGTCCTCCATCTCTTCCTCTCATCGGCAACCTTCACCAACTCCATCACTCATCCCCACATCGCTCCCTATGGCAACTCGCCAAGCGCTACGGCCCTCTCATGTCGCTGCGACTCGCCTCTGTACAAACCCTCGTCGTTTCCTCGGCACAAGTCGCCAAAGAAATCCTCAAAACCCATGACCTCAACTTCGGAACCAGGCCCGCCTTCGTCGGCCCCAGAAAGCTCTCTTACAACGGGCTCGACTTGGGCTTCGCGCCCTACGGCCCATGCTGGAGAGAATTGAAGAAACTCTGCATGATCCACCTCTTCAGCGCGCACCGCGTTCAGTCCTTTCGCTCCGTTCGAGAAGACGAGGTAGCTCAAATGCTTCGGAAGCTCTCTGAGCAAGAAGCTTCGGGCACCGTCGTGAACCTAACCGAAATACTTATGTCTTTCACGAGTTCTCTGATATGCAGAATCGCGTTCGGGAAAAAAAAGTACGTCGACGAGTACGAGGAAGTTGTTGAGAAGGGAAAGCGGAGGAGCCGGTTGCAGGTTATGCTGAACGAGGCGCAGGCGTTGCTGACTGAGTTTTTCTTTTCGGATTATTTTCCGTTGCTGGGTTGGGTTGATTGGTTGACGGGTAAAAGGCAGCGGCTGGAGAAAACGTTCAAGGAGTTGGATGCGTTCTACGAACGAGTGATCTTGGAGCACATGGATTCTGCCATGGGTAAAGACGGTGATGATGAGAAAGAAGTGCAAGATATCATCGATATCTTTCTTCAGCTTCTTCGTGATCGTTCTCTCTCGTTTCATTTCACTGTTGACCACATAAAAGCGGTGCTCATGGTAACTTCCTCGTTCAACCTTCTCTTTCATTATTGCATACAATATTCTTCTGGTAATAGTTTTGGTTCACCGTATTAGACAGTGGTAGTCATCGTCATCGTTTGTCATGCTCCTTACAATAATTTATGTTATGTCACAATATAGGAATCCAGAGTATCTTCACAACAAGACTTTTAGTGTATATCTGGTATAATTTTTAATTTTTTTTATAACATTTGCACTGAAATCAAAATAAAAATTTAAAGTATCTAAAGCAAGTCTCGAGATCTTTATTTTTAAAAAAAAAAATCACTTCCCAAAAGTTAAATTATAGATTTTTTTTATAAAATCCCAAAAAAAAAATATTTAAAATCTCCAAATAAAGTGTATAATCAGATAAAAATGATCCAAACGTGCCTAAGTCGACAGGTAAGCAATTCCGTAATCGATTTTTTCGAAAAGTAGGATAAGCATTAGATCCGTGAAAGTTAAGTAGGCCATGTTTCGTGTCCTATTCAGTTTTCTACACTTTCCACCACCAGTTATAAAATAATAATATTTTCTACTTAATTCATCCTAAAACATTTTATATTTAACATAAAATTGTTATTTTATTGATTTTGGACGGAGGTTAAGGAAAAAAAAATGGGGTGTTTCACCCATATTAAAAAGAGAGACGAGTTAATGGGCACATATGTCCGATAAAGAAAAACAACTATATGTTGATACCTATTTTTCAAAATACAATTATTTAACAATTCTCTTTGTTAATATATATAAAAATAGTAATAATTATTACAATAATTTTTTAGTTTAAATTGAGTATTTTTACAAAATCCACTTATATATGAGTTTACGTATGCATGCAGAACATCTTCATAGCGGGAACAGACCCTCCTTCGGCGACAATAGTTTGGGCGATGACGGCACTGTTGAATAATGGTGAAGTGATGAGAAAGGTTCAAGGAGAAGTGAGAAGTTTATTCGGTGAGAAAGATTTCATAAACGAAGACGACGTTGAAAGGCTTCCATATCTGAAAGCAGTGGTGAAGGAGACGTTGAGACTGTTCCCACCGTCGCCGCTTCTGTTGCCGAGAGAAGCGATAGAGCGTTGCAGCATAGAGGGGTACGAGATTGAAGCCAAAACCTTGGTGTACGTTAACGCCTGGGCTATAGCGAGGGACCCTGAGAACTGGGAAAAGCCCCTTGAGTTTTGTCCCGAGAGGTTTCTCGGGAGTGAGATGGAGTTGAAGGGGAAGGAGTTTGAGGTGCTGCCGTTTGGGAGTGGCCGGAGAATGTGTCCGGCGAAGCACATGGGAATGGTGAACGTTGAGCTCTCTCTTGCGAATCTGCTCCACAGTTTTGACTGGGAAGTGGACCCAGGGAGTGACAGAGAGGACATGTTAGGCACAGAAGTGAAACCAGGAATAACAATGCACAAGAAAACTGACCTTTACCTTGTTCCCAAGAAGAGGACAACCTAGTATACGTTGAATGTTCACCATCGGTGTAAGATTATCTTTAAAACTTTTAAACCACTACATCAACTCCAATGAATAATAAGCTTTACTGGCCTCACTTTTTTTGTTGTTACATCATGGTGGTGAAGTAAAAGGAAAAATAAAAAGTTTTTTTTATAACTATTGGGATTGATTCTTTAACATATAAAATATAATAATCAATATAAATGAAAAAATAAATAAAAATAATTAAACAATTAAAACTTAAAGTAAAGTATAAAAATATCTATTCAATTCAATTAAACAAGCAAAATTTTCAATATATTATCAACGCCAAACAAAAAGACAATACACATCAAACAAATAGATTAACAACACAAACTTCCAACAAAATATTTATACACAACTCTACCCAATTTTATTTTCTAAAAAAAAACATCTAATAACTTAAATTACCTAAATAGTTCAATTTAGGAATAACAAATTATTACAGATATAAACTTACTAAACATAAGAGATAAACATAATAATATTTAAACTGCGAAATTAGAATTCGTCCATATTTTAAATAATTTTAATACATTTTTGTTTCTATATTTAAAAATAAATTAATGTATTTTTTTTAAATCAATAATTTGAAATTTATTTTATGTGGTAAACAACTTTTTAGACTGATATTTAAATTAAAATATATCAAATGATACTGACAATCTAAACATCAACTCAAATTCGTCCATATTTTAAATTTTGATATATTTTTGTTTTTAAAATTTAAAAATAATAGAATATAATCTTTTTAATTTAATAGTGTTAAATTTCTTTTATGTATTAAACAACGATTTAGATTGATATTTGAACATGTGAAATGATATTAACAATTCAAACATTCATTTAAAATATTATTTAATACTTGAAAAATCTTTAAGAAAATTATGTTAGAAAATATATCTCCATTTGTTTCTAAAGTTTTAAATAAATTATAACTTCGTTCTTGAAAATTAAAAATATATTTAATTCAAAAAGTAAACATTACTATCATTTTGGATGTTTAACAAATCCATATAAAATATTTTTCCATGTAACATGTGTTGTATTAAATAATCTCCTCCAAGTGTAACAACTAGCATATTTTTATACAAAATTCACATTTTCAAACCTTATCTGAAATCCTCGTCTATTCTCGATCCATTTATTTGCTAATGCACTAAGCATCATCTCACTATTCGTACTTTTTATCCAATCATATCAACATTATTTCAAACGGTGTTAACTCAGTGCGAGTCTTATTCTCATTTGTTAGAATGTCATTTAGTTCACCCAGATACAACGTATTACAAACATGGTGCAAACAAACATGAAAATGACAAAAGTTGATTATAATAGTCACTGCTAATACTCCAACATTCTAAATAACAACGTAAGGAAATTACATTAAAATACTCACCTTCTAGTGTTTGAAGATTGATCATCTCAAGTTTCATGAGTTGCCAAAAGCACATGTAAATATCAAAATGATTTCAACAAAGATAATTTAATAAGAATAGAAAGAACCGCAACACCAACGACATGGTCGAAGTAACAAGCTTCTACCTAAATTACATAAGCAATATGAATCCTCATATTTCATTTATACTCAATCATTTTCTGTTAAACTTAAATATGTAAGAAAAATTAGAAAATGAACCGCAAATAATTATAGAATCTTCGCCTTAATATAAGAAATAAATTTTTAAAAGTGAATAAAAACAAATCTTAATAAAATAAATCATAAATCCTAATGAAATCAATCTGAAATCATCATAAAATTTACAGATAGTAACTAAACTTGGGCAGTAAAATCAACAAATCTAAACTTTATTTTTGATTCTGAGTGGAGTCTTTTTTTTACTTGAACTTGGTGATGCAGTGTGCTGTGATTCACGTCACAAACATTGAGTATATATGGTTGTAGAGTTTTGAAGGGCAACCGATGAGATCAGTAGGCTGTTGCTTTGCCATTCTGGCGCTGTGACTGAGTCTGTGTTTGTTCCTGGGAATGGCTGTTGTGCAGTTGACCATGTCTAAGCTGGTTAGGGTGCTGCTGGTGCTGTAACGGGAACATTTGTTGGCTAATAGCAAGCTGTTGAGCCATTCGACTCGAGAGGAGGGACTCACCGCCAAGGTCTGCGACCGTGCGCCTCAACCGCCGCACTTCGGCATCCAAAGTCTCATTCAGAGCTGCCAAAATAAGCATGCAGATGAATTTTTGTTCATTTGAAGAAAGGAGAGATGATGAAATGGAGATACATATTTCTGAATTACAAGTTTAAGATGCTAAAAATATATTGCTAATGACTTGATCTTAAATATGATAGTTTACATACACTATAACTGCAACAATCATGAAATAAGTCACAGTTGATAGAGGCATTAGGCATGAAGCCAAAAAAGTTGTAGTAAGAATCATGGTTAGAACAGGTTCTGACCATTTGTATCAAGCATCAAAATATCAAATACTTGAACCTTGACTATACGAGCTACCTTTCCTTCCAAGTCTCGTTTTCTCTCTTTTTTCTTTCTATTTGGCATTAAGGGTGTTTTAGTGACACCAATATGTGGGCAAAATGGCCCCAATATCTTTAAATATACAGTTTTAAAAAGGGTATGACAAACAAAATAGAACATCAGAAAAACGCAGTACTGGTGCAAAATGTACTTTACAAGCGTTTGTAAAAATGAAAGTAAATTCCAGCTGGACAGGTAGATTTCAAAGGTGAGTTGTGCAGGTACCCTGAATATAATTGGATAGTAAATCACTCCAGTTTTAGTAACATAACATCAGCCATTTACATGTTGAGGACCAGAACAAGTTTGATTAGTTTATCTGTATTCATTAAAAATTGTCATACAGTAAACCTTGTTAGCACATAAAATCCGTTTACTAAATGAAAAGCAGACATCATTGAACCTGATCATACGTAAAAGTGGTGTGTACAAAAACAACAAAGTTCACATTTTACAGGTTAGAATAAGCAAAAACAGATTTGAGCTAATACATTAAGTAGAAGAAAATGTAAATCCATACCATCTTTCAGTTGGGACTGCTGTTCCAAGGCTTGAATCCTCAATTTGTACTCATTGTTCTCACTTTTAAGCTCTGAATTGTCCATCTGCAGACAAGCACAACAAAAGAAACGGGAGAAAAAGAATAAAGGAATGATGAAAGGGAACATTTTATTCATCACAGTAAAATATAGATGACAATTTGACGAAAAATATCGGCTGAACTCAGAAGGCACGCACCTGTAATTTGGTAAATTGAGTAGACAATGTGGTTGTCTCTGTCTGAAGTGTTTGGACTTTCAGCTCCAATTCAGAAATGTATCGCATCTTCCGCTCTTTCGAGCGAGCAGCAGATAGCCTATTGGCCAAAATCCTGGACAAATATTTTAGAGTCTTAGTTGTTTTCCACCAAAAGAGAACAACATAAAAACAGTAAAACATAAGACTATTATTACCTTTTTGCACGTTTAGGATCAGCCATGGCAATTTCAGCAAGTTTATCATTCTCCTTTATTTTCTTTAGCTCCTCCGAGCTGAATTCACCATTTCCAAACTCTATGCTTGTTTCAGATGTCTTACCCTCTAGTGAATTGCTAGGCGAGTGTTGACCACCCCGGTTTTGCAGAGGAGGAAGCTTAGGTGATTCATCTCCAATATGAAAATTTCCAATGGAGCTGTCCAACGAGTAACTTCTCCGGTGCCGGGATCCCGGTGCAATGTCCCCATTAGAACTCCTCTTAACTCCTTCCCTTCTGTCCTCAGAACAGCTTGAACTAGCCCCTTGAGCACCAGTTGTTTTCCCATTCGCATGACTCTCAACTTCGTTATCACTGCTTTCAACAGTCTTGGAACCACTGGTTCTGCTATCCAAATCTTTATCTTCCATACCAGAAAAATTCAGAGTATCAATGTTGTCCAAATTCATATATGCACTAAACAAATCATCCAGTGAATCATCTTCTTTCCTCCCAACCACAGGCTCCCCACCAAAACCATCAACACGGTCCATACTCTTAATCGGTTCCTTTANTTTACTGGCCTCACTTTTTTTGTTGTTACATCATGGTGGTGAAGTAAAAGGAAAAATAAAAAGTTTTTTTTATAACTATTGGGATTGATTCTTTAACATATAAAATATAATAATCAATATAAATGAAAAAATAAATAAAAATAATTAAACAATTAAAACTTAAAGTAAAGTATAAAAATATCTATTCAATTCAATTAAACAAGCAAAATTTTCAATATATTATCAACGCCAAACAAAAAGACAATACACATCAAACAAATAGATTAACAACACAAACTTCCAACAAAATATTTATACACAACTCTACCCAATTTTATTTTCTAAAAAAAAACATCTAATAACTTAAATTACCTAAATAGTTCAATTTAGGAATAACAAATTATTACAGATATAAACTTACTAAACATAAGAGATAAACATAATAATATTTAAACTGCGAAATTAGAATTCGTCCATATTTTAAATAATTTTAATACATTTTTGTTTCTATATTTAAAAATAAATTAATGTATTTTTTTTAAATCAATAATTTGAAATTTATTTTATGTGGTAAACAACTTTTTAGACTGATATTTAAATTAAAATATATCAAATGATACTGACAATCTAAACATCAACTCAAATTCGTCCATATTTTAAATTTTGATATATTTTTGTTTTTAAAATTTAAAAATAATAGAATATAATCTTTTTAATTTAATAGTGTTAAATTTCTTTTATGTATTAAACAACGATTTAGATTGATATTTGAACATGTGAAATGATATTAACAATTCAAACATTCATTTAAAATATTATTTAATACTTGAAAAATCTTTAAGAAAATTATGTTAGAAAATATATCTCCATTTGTTTCTAAAGTTTTAAATAAATTATAACTTCGTTCTTGAAAATTAAAAATATATTTAATTCAAAAAGTAAACATTACTATCATTTTGGATGTTTAACAAATCCATATAAAATATTTTTCCATGTAACATGTGTTGTATTAAATAATCTCCTCCAAGTGTAACAACTAGCATATTTTTATACAAAATTCACATTTTCAAACCTTATCTGAAATCCTCGTCTATTCTCGATCCATTTATTTGCTAATGCACTAAGCATCATCTCACTATTCGTACTTTTTATCCAATCATATCAACATTATTTCAAACGGTGTTAACTCAGTGCGAGTCTTATTCTCATTTGTTAGAATGTCATTTAGTTCACCCAGATACAACGTATTACAAACATGGTGCAAACAAACATGAAAATGACAAAAGTTGATTATAATAGTCACTGCTAATACTCCAACATTCTAAATAACAACGTAAGGAAATTACATTAAAATACTCACCTTCTAGTGTTTGAAGATTGATCATCTCAAGTTTCATGAGTTGCCAAAAGCACATGTAAATATCAAAATGATTTCAACAAAGATAATTTAATAAGAATAGAAAGAACCGCAACACCAACGACATGGTCGAAGTAACAAGCTTCTACCTAAATTACATAAGCAATATGAATCCTCATATTTCATTTATACTCAATCATTTTCTGTTAAACTTAAATATGTAAGAAAAATTAGAAAATGAACCGCAAATAATTATAGAATCTTCGCCTTAATATAAGAAATAAATTTTTAAAAGTGAATAAAAACAAATCTTAATAAAATAAATCATAAATCCTAATGAAATCAATCTGAAATCATCATAAAATTTACAGATAGTAACTAAACTTGGGCAGTAAAATCAACAAATCTAAACTTTATTTTTGATTCTGAGTGGAGTCTTTTTTTTACTTGAACTTGGTGATGCAGTGTGCTGTGATTCACGTCACAAACATTGAGTATATATGGTTGTAGAGTTTTGAAGGGCAACCGATGAGATCAGTAGGCTGTTGCTTTGCCATTCTGGCGCTGTGACTGAGTCTGTGTTTGTTCCTGGGAATGGCTGTTGTGCAGTTGACCATGTCTAAGCTGGTTAGGGTGCTGCTGGTGCTGTAACGGGAACATTTGTTGGCTAATAGCAAGCTGTTGAGCCATTCGACTCGAGAGGAGGGACTCACCGCCAAGGTCTGCGACCGTGCGCCTCAACCGCCGCACTTCGGCATCCAAAGTCTCATTCAGAGCTGCCAAAATAAGCATGCAGATGAATTTTTGTTCATTTGAAGAAAGGAGAGATGATGAAATGGAGATACATATTTCTGAATTACAAGTTTAAGATGCTAAAAATATATTGCTAATGACTTGATCTTAAATATGATAGTTTACATACACTATAACTGCAACAATCATGAAATAAGTCACAGTTGATAGAGGCATTAGGCATGAAGCCAAAAAAGTTGTAGTAAGAATCATGGTTAGAACAGGTTCTGACCATTTGTATCAAGCATCAAAATATCAAATACTTGAACCTTGACTATACGAGCTACCTTTCCTTCCAAGTCTCGTTTTCTCTCTTTTTTCTTTCTATTTGGCATTAAGGGTGTTTTAGTGACACCAATATGTGGGCAAAATGGCCCCAATATCTTTAAATATACAGTTTTAAAAAGGGTATGACAAACAAAATAGAACATCAGAAAAACGCAGTACTGGTGCAAAATGTACTTTACAAGCGTTTGTAAAAATGAAAGTAAATTCCAGCTGGACAGGTAGATTTCAAAGGTGAGTTGTGCAGGTACCCTGAATATAATTGGATAGTAAATCACTCCAGTTTTAGTAACATAACATCAGCCATTTACATGTTGAGGACCAGAACAAGTTTGATTAGTTTATCTGTATTCATTAAAAATTGTCATACAGTAAACCTTGTTAGCACATAAAATCCGTTTACTAAATGAAAAGCAGACATCATTGAACCTGATCATACGTAAAAGTGGTGTGTACAAAAACAACAAAGTTCACATTTTACAGGTTAGAATAAGCAAAAACAGATTTGAGCTAATACATTAAGTAGAAGAAAATGTAAATCCATACCATCTTTCAGTTGGGACTGCTGTTCCAAGGCTTGAATCCTCAATTTGTACTCATTGTTCTCACTTTTAAGCTCTGAATTGTCCATCTGCAGACAAGCACAACAAAAGAAACGGGAGAAAAAGAATAAAGGAATGATGAAAGGGAACATTTTATTCATCACAGTAAAATATAGATGACAATTTGACGAAAAATATCGGCTGAACTCAGAAGGCACGCACCTGTAATTTGGTAAATTGAGTAGACAATGTGGTTGTCTCTGTCTGAAGTGTTTGGACTTTCAGCTCCAATTCAGAAATGTATCGCATCTTCCGCTCTTTCGAGCGAGCAGCAGATAGCCTATTGGCCAAAATCCTGGACAAATATTTTAGAGTCTTAGTTGTTTTCCACCAAAAGAGAACAACATAAAAACAGTAAAACATAAGACTATTATTACCTTTTTGCACGTTTAGGATCAGCCATGGCAATTTCAGCAAGTTTATCATTCTCCTTTATTTTCTTTAGCTCCTCCGAGCTGAATTCACCATTTCCAAACTCTATGCTTGTTTCAGATGTCTTACCCTCTAGTGAATTGCTAGGCGAGTGTTGACCACCCCGGTTTTGCAGAGGAGGAAGCTTAGGTGATTCATCTCCAATATGAAAATTTCCAATGGAGCTGTCCAACGAGTAACTTCTCCGGTGCCGGGATCCCGGTGCAATGTCCCCATTAGAACTCCTCTTAACTCCTTCCCTTCTGTCCTCAGAACAGCTTGAACTAGCCCCTTGAGCACCAGTTGTTTTCCCATTCGCATGACTCTCAACTTCGTTATCACTGCTTTCAACAGTCTTGGAACCACTGGTTCTGCTATCCAAATCTTTATCTTCCATACCAGAAAAATTCAGAGTATCAATGTTGTCCAAATTCATATATGCACTAAACAAATCATCCAGTGAATCATCTTCTTTCCTCCCAACCACAGGCTCCCCACCAAAACCATCAACACGGTCCATACTCTTAATCGGTTCCTTTAACACCAACTGAATCGGTTTCTCGTATCCTGAGTTCCCTCCCCTAGAAACATCACGATCACTCCAAGTCCTGGAGGGAACCGACTGAGGGGCAGACTGGATAAAATCAGAGATTCCCAAAGGGGAATCACTGCTGGATCGCCTGTGTCCTTTCCGAGGTGGAAGAGAATGGCCAAGCTGAAGTGCAGGACCACGATTAGGCAAAGGGGCATGTGGGTTAACCAAGCTTTCCTCAGCAGACAAATCTAATGAAATTGGGTCAGAAACAGATGGCTCCCTATAAGGAGAAGGACTCAATGGGGGCAAGGAATCCAGAGAGAAAAAAGAGGGCTGAGACAGAGACCTAGAATGGGATGAAACAGAACTCAAATTGGGAGAACCCAAACGCTGAGAAACCGAATTGGAATGGGATTGGGAGCCAAAAAACTGAGGATAGGCTGAAGAAGGTGAAATATTCGTATTAGGGTGTGAGGGTGGTATACCATAGGGTTTCTGATTCTCAGCAACACCCAATTGACTAACAGGCACAGCAGTATTCAATCGATTTGGGGGCCTGAGATTTGCTCCCGATGATGAACCAAAACCACTACCATTTCGTTTCAAATTACTTTGATCAACACCTTCCATTGACTCAACAACCGCCAACCCTTCTACTCAAAAATCACAACTTTCAACAATACTCACCAATCAACACATACAAACCTTCAAAATCCTTACACACAATTCACCCAGGCTAGTGCAGTGAAAAAAAATTGCTAATAATTGCAGAAAGTTCTAACTAACACAGTACTTTGTGTACCTGGTCATTGCCAGAGCAGATTAAAAAGTGCAAACCCTATCTTGCAACCAGCACGGTGACAGAGACAAGAGTAAATTATATCAGAAGCAGAGTGTGTGTTCTGTGTCACAGAAGCAGGAAAATTCCACGGTGATGCGGAAGAGGTTTCTAGAGAAAGAACATGAGAAGCTGAAGTGTCGGAGGACGAAGATGACGATGTGGTTGTGTTGTGTGCGCTAGAAGGTAAATTTGTGAGTGTCTCTTTTTTCTCCTCTGGTCGTGAAATAAATGGCATGCGCGTGTCAACTTCGCTGGAACGCGGATATTGTTTTTTTCCCTTCATTTCCGGACTCCGTTTTATTTTTTTAACATCAAATTAAAAAGAAAAAATTACCATCAAATTTTAATTAACATGTTTTATAATACTTTTATAATTCTTTTCAAATTTGTTTTTTTATTTAACTCACAATTTTTACGGCAAAACTAATTTGAAAAAAAAATAAAAAAGAGGACAACATTGAAGTTATTTTTTATTTAAATTATTGTAAGTAGGTGATGGTGGTGTGTATAAGTATAGAGTATTATTTATTTGTTATCTAATTGATTCGAAATCTATACGTAATAGGAAACTCCCAATTAGTCAATATGCTTTAACAACTTTACATCTTGTTTTGATGTAGACACAACATACGCGTTTCCACACGTCACATTTCTTCTATGTTTGGATCAACGTTTATGATTTTTTTTTTACGCAGTTTATTATTTTATTTGAGCTATGTCTTCCTTTTAACCCAAAAACCATAGGCCCAATTGAAAATTCAAAATATATTGCAAAAATCAATCGTGTTTATTAAAAACAACTAAATTTGTATTTTGTGTTTCATGGTCAAAACTAACGGTCAAGTAAACATGTATTGAATCGATGGGGTGTAAAATATTGACCGCGTATATATACAAATAAAAATATTATAGTTATCCGTTAATTATATATATATATATATATATATATATATATATATATATATATATATATATATATATATATATATATATATATATATATATATATATTTATTTTTTTTTTTATATATATATATATATTTATATTGATTAATTTTCATGAGATTTAAATATTTATAATTCTTGCTTTGTATTATTGAATTGAATTTTGTATTTATAAATAGATGTTCAATTTGAATAACATGACATAAAATATTAGTTTTTATTTTAGAATGTTAAATTTGCTTTTTTGTTTAATTGGGTTATGGTTTATCTTTAGTCTAGCTGAAATGTAATGTTGTAATTTTATTTAGTTATATTACTATCTATTCACGTTATAGTTCAAAATGTTGGATTTGTATGGTCTACTTCTAACTTAGCTAAAATGTCAAATTTACATTGTTTAGTCAAATTATAACTTATTCTGAGTCAAGCTATTTTGTTTAGTCAAGTTACAGTCTGTTCCCAACCGATCTGGAACGTTAAAATTGTATTTTTGTTTAGTCAAATTACGATCTATTATAGTCAATCTAAAATGTTGAATTTGCATTTTTCAGTCAGATTAGAATATGATCTCAGGCGAGCTAGAATGTCGAATTTTCATTTTTATTTAGTCAAATCACGGTTTATTCCCAATCAAATCGAAATGTCGAATTTACATATTTATTTAGTCAAGTTACAGTATGCTTCTAACCGAACTAGAATGTTAGATCTCATAATGGATACCATTTTGTTTTGGCTAGAAAATAACTAACTCAAAACAAATAGTAGAAAGTTATTTATTTAGAAATTGTGTATCCTTTTCTTTATCTCAGGGTCTTGGTTATAATCTTCTTTTGTTCCTAGTATATGTTTTAATAGCATCTAGACTATATTTCATTATTTTTTGGAATTTTTTAAAATATGAAATTTTGTGATTTTTTTTAGATATCTTCCACAATTTTATTTTGATTTTTATTTGTTTTTACTAACTGTACCATTTAACTTGTATCTACCTCTTTTCATATATGGGATATAAAACTTCTAATCACGTCCTTTTTCTTTAATTCTCTATCTCAACCCACCACACTTATAAGAGATCAATCTTCATTATCTTATCTCTTTTTCTTATTATCAACTTTATATTTTACTAGTCTAAACATATATATTATCACATATCTGTATTTTTAAAATATTTATATTTTATTATAAGTTAATAATATATGTTAATTGATTAAGATAATATATAAGAAAGCAACCATGAAAGTAGTAAGAAGTACTTTAATATCAATAATAAAAGCTATAAATATAATTAAGAAATAAAAAAAAACTATACAAAATATTTTAAAATAGAAATTACTTATAAAAAAAATCAGTTAATGATTATATATTTAAAAAAAGTGTTAATAATTATATTATAAAAGATATAATAGAAATATAAATTAGATACACATAAAAAAATGTCACTTTTATATATAGTATAGATAATAGAAAATACCATTTTTTTTTAAATTCTACCACTTCAATAGCCGTGTGAGAATTGTTTGTGATTATTATTTTATATAATTAATTTCATCAATAACTCCATTTACTTGGTTTCTTTTTCTAATTTTGCTTCAAATATGCTTTTACTCCCATGTTTGGAGAATCTCATATTTAAGTTTTTCTTCCGTTATTATTCATTTTTTAAAATGAATGATAATTAAGTATGTGTTAATTTTAAAAAAAATTAAATTAGATACTTTTATTACATGTAAGACTTAAGTGGAGAGTTCAGGTTTTCTTCTCATGCAAATTTAATTACTCCAAAAAATTTAAATCAAATTCAGACACTAGATTTATGGTTCCAACCTAATTAGAAAATAAGATAAAAAATGAAAAAAAAAAATAGAGATACATTAATTTTCTTTACCTTTTTTTTTCCTTTACACATTTATCTCTTTACCAAGAGTAAAATAAACATATTAAAAACCTTTTAAATCACTTAAATAACATAACTCTAATCATGAAATTTCAAATATTCAAATTCAAATTTTAACTTAAACTTTCTCTATCTTCGTAATTTCTGGATGTAAGTATGTTACACTCATTTTCTTCTCACTTCAACTCACAGATCCACTTAATTATTATTTACATCCTTTTTCTTCAAAATTCACCATCATCATACCTAATCAGTTAATAAAAATTCACTAAATATAAAAAATATATAATCCCTTCATAAATTTAAAAGAGAACACGACTTTTTAAAAAAAGAAGAAATCCTTTGATTTCTATCTAGATCATTAAAACAATTATAAAAAAAAGTGATTTTGTAGTCATCTCTCAAAACACCGTCAACCCTATTAATCATAACAAAATATTTTAAATTTTGATATTATACAATAAATAAACATAAAATGCTAATTTTATATTTATTTCTTAAAAGAAAGAAAAAATACACTTTGAAATGCTAAAGATGAAAATAGTATAATTAAAAAAATCTTCAAAGAAAAAGAAGCGTAATCATTGGAATCATTACACATATATAATTTCAATTATAGTTTTATTAAGTATTCACAAAAAGAAAGATTAATGGAACTCTTGTTAGATTAGTTGGGCACTTGCATGAACTTGATCATACGATTTTAGGTCAGACTTATAATAGTTAGTTGAGTTAGCCATTTCAATGGTCTAATACATGGTGTTGATATTAAAATAAAGTTGTATTAGGTAATGTGTCTTACACATATCATGTCAAAAGTTGTTGAAATGTTTTCCTGTCGCATGGAATAAAGCTTAAGGTTATGGCTACACTTGTATGTTATTTTTCAGTTTTTATTCTAATAGTGGTGATTGATAGAACCCCCACTCTTAATCATCATTGTAGATGTTGAGCTTCTCAAACTGACTATGACAATTTCCTTTTCCTACTTTGTTTTCGTTTTGTGTTTATCTCCTTTCACCTTCAAGATTCTAAACACAATAAAAGGGAAATTAAATTATTGAGTTTTGTCATGTTACTAATGTATTGAACTTAAACCGACTTAGTTTAAAAAAAATAGTTATTTTTTTATGGGTTGTAAGTAAAAAATACTTTTTTATATTAAGATTTATATGGGACGTAGAAATTAAAAAAAAATACTTATGATGATTGTTTTAATACATGAATAGTCTCGTATTGTTTATCTTGGAGTTAAAATCAAAAACATATTTTTCTTTTAACATTTATATTAAAAGATATAAAATTATGATAAGATGTTAAAACAAACAATATTTTAAATGTGTTAAATTATTATAACGACATTATTAAGACGAATTTGAAGTCAATAAAACATTTTCTTAGAAAACTTTCTCAACCCAATATACATTTAAATACATATTCTTTCTTTAACATTTTAAAAAGTCTTTTGAAAAAAATAATAATATGACAAAAGTTTTAGGTTCCAAAATGAAGACATATCTCAACATACTTAAGTTTGAAATAATAATAAAGTAAAGTGTGTTATCTGGCAAGTATTTACATAAAAACTAGCTTAGATGAGAGGTTTTACATCATTTATTTGATGAACTTGGTTCCTTCTTTTGTCTGACTATATACTTGTTAGAACATGCTTATGATATCAATAAACTCATTAGCGAAGAGAATACACGGTGACACTAATGAAAATTATGAATACTATAGTCCACCTGTCATGATAAGTTGATCGATAACAATTTTATAATAAAAATAACAATTGTTATACTCGTAAAAGAGGACCTGACATAATAAGTGAATAGAAAAAACTTATTATGACAAATGTAGTGAACCTATCATAATGAGGCGTAATGGCACAAATATAATTATGTTGAAAACTATTACGTTAGTTTTTGGAAGACCTATTGCAGTAAGATTTTATCATGACGACCAGTTCCACATTTGTCATGGTATCTTTAAATCCCTAATTTTTGTCACTTTTGTGTTTCACAATTAGTTCACGCTCAATCTTTCTCCCAGTCTTCCATTCTCAAGTTTTCTCATACAATCATCGTTTTTCCAGTTTGTTCTCACGGAGTGACGTTGTCATCCACTTTTGGCAGCGTCGTGTCTACCATAATTGGGTCGTCATCTTCTTCATCTCACACAAGCTCGCCTCGTCTTGCGTTGTCGTCCCCTCTGTCTCACATGGTGGTGCCTCATCTTCAATTGTCGCTTCTCAGTTTGTATTATCGTGCCCTCGTCTTCCATTGTCGTGCCTCGACAAGGTTGATCTTGGTTGCGTCCTCATCCTCGAGTTTGATCTCCGCATTACCACATCGGTATCTCGCTTTTTTCATTTGGTT